GAGGATTCGGACTATGGTTCTTGCGATTCTGATGATGTGGATCCGAGGCAGCGGGTGCTAGCGGATTATCAGAGGCAGAGGTCATCGGGTGATGAAGGGAAATTGAAGTCTCTCTTAGCGAGTTTGACTGAAGAAACCGATCCTTCTTTGCAGTTAACTGGGCTTACTGAGTTGTGTGAAGTGTTGTCCTTTTGCACCGAAGAGTCATTGTCCAGCCTAATGGCAGACATGCTCTCGCCGGTGCTTGTTAAGTTAGCTAAGCATGAGAACAATGCAGATATTATGCTGCTCGCGATTAGAGCAATAACTTACTTGTGTGATGTTTATCCCCGGTCAGTAGCATTCCTTGTAAGACATGATACCATTCCTGCCCTTTGCCAAAGACTATTGACTATCGAGTACTTGGACGTTGCTGAGCAGGTACGATATACTTTTTTGCCATGAGTTATTTTGTTGTTGTTTACAACTAAAGAGAGTTACTTTTAATTAGTACTAATACTTACTATTGACTTGGCTAGTGTTTGCAAGCACTTGAGAAAATATCCCGAGAGCAGCCAGTAGCATGCTTGAATGCTGGAGCAATTATGGCAGTGCTCTCTTTTATTGATTTCTTCTCAACAAGCATACAGGTTAGTCATCTAAAGAGTTTACTTTTCTCTGTCAGATTTGTCTGTTTTTGTTATTGTGTCTTGGTTTAGCTCGAATGGGTGACTTTACAAGACTTATCGATTTGAACGACGCATTTTCATCAGAGAGTCGCAATTTCTACTGTGGTGAATATATGTACGGAGCTTCCATCTGAGCCCTCACCTTTCATGGATGCTGTTCCAATATTATGCAATCTTCTTCAGTACGAAGATCGACAGGTCAGAATTATGCTAAGTTCTTCCCTTTTTCTCTGATATAAATATTCTTCTGAAAATAGTAATAGCTCAGTTATATGCCTCTATTTGCAGTTGGTCGAGAACGTGGCTATTTGCTTGACACAAATAGCAGATCACGTTAGTCAGTCACCTGCAATGTTGGATCAACTATGTACCCATGGACTTATTCATCAATCCACTCATCTTTTGAACTTGAATAGCCGCACTACCCTATCTCAACCTATTTACAACGTACACGAGATTTCTTCTCCTTTTGGTTGACTCTCCATATTTATTGCATAAAAATAACGTCATGCACTTTGGCTTTGGTTGGCAGGGTGTTATTGGATTACTAAGAAAACTTTCTTCTGGTTCAACTTTAGCCTTCAGAACGTTATATGAGCTTAATATCGGCTACAGATTAAAAGAAATTATGTCCACGTATGACATATCTCATTCAGTGTCTTCCACACATCCCATCAATTCATGTTCCAATCAGGTTGGCGTTTTATTGTATAGATCACTCTTTTATTCTTAGATACTCCAATAGATTATTTTCCTTATAAATAGTCATGTATCAAAATAGCTTTTGGTCGAAGGATAATTTTCTCAGTAGGGCTGATTTATTCATGAGTGCGGTGAAAATGGTTTTAACGTTGGTGGAAACCAAACTTATCACTCAGGTGCATGAAGTCTTGAAGTTGGTAGTTGAGCTTCTTCCAGCTTCGCCTGTCGAAGATGATCAGCTGGCTTTGGAAAAGGAAAGTTTTCTTGTCAATCAACCTGATCTTTTGCAGCAATTTGGGACGGACATGCTTCCTGTTATGATCCAGGTTATTTCCGGCATACAGTTTTATGCTCTGGACATTTCTCTCTAGAATATGATATATTTTCTGAATTCTTTGTAGGTGCTAAAATCTGGAGCTAATGTATATGTTTCTTATGGTTGCCTATCAGCAATTCACAAGCTGACTTGCTTGAGTAAGTCAGATGATCTTGTCGGTCTACTGAAGAATGCCAACATTTCAAGGTCAATTGTTCTGTAATATTTTTGCAGAGCTTGAGCTGACTCAACCCTGTTGCTTTCTGGCTAATGATAGTGTATTTAATAATGATGCAGTGTTCTAGCTGGCATTTTGTCAAGGAAGGATCTTCATGTTGTCTTAGTAGCACTCCAGATTGCTGAAGTGCTCCTCGAGAAATACAGAGATGCTTTCTTGAATTCCTTTATAAAGGAGGGTGTTTTTTTTGCAATTGAAGCACTATCAAATTCTGATAGAGGGCAACAAAATTCAGTATCTGGTTTCGTTCAAGGAACAGCTGACCCTTCACAAAAGCCTGTTACGAAAGAGATTGTGAAATGCTTGTGCCAGTCTTTTGAAAGATCGCTTTCCTCTTCATCAGAAACTTGTAAGATTGAGAATGATTCTGTCTTCATTCTTGCAACACGTATCAAGCAGAGTTTCTTTGGACCTGAGGTATTCGACTCTGAAAAAGGCTTGACAGATGTCCTCCAAAACCTCAAGAACTTGTCGGTAGCACTTAGCGATTTGATGACTCTACCTATTGATGCACATGTGCTGCATGATGAGAAATTCTGCTCAATATGGAATCAAATCATGGAAAGACTGAATGGAAGGGATTCTGTGTCCACTTTTGAATTTACAGAGAGTGGGGTAGTAAAGTCACTGGCAAATTATCTGTCTAATGGACTCTATCAAAGGGAACTTAGCAAAGGAGATCAAGAACGTGACAGTTTACCATTTGTTGGTAAGAGATTTGAAGTGTTCACAAGATTACTTTGGTCTGAAGGCGAGGCAGCCTCATCCGTGTTAGTACATAAGCTCCAAAATTCCTTATCTTCTTTGGAAAACTTACCAATTGTCCTAAGTCAATTTTTGAAGCAAAAGGAGTCATTCGCGACTGTTCCAAATGGACGGTGCACAAGTTATCCATGCCTAAAAGTTCGTTTTGTGAAAGCAGAGGGGGAGACTTATTTGCGTGATTACTCCCAAGACTTTGTCACCGTTGACCCCCTTTGCAACTTGGATGCCGTTGATCAATACTTGTGGCCTAAAGTGCATCTGGAACCTATGGATTCAATGGAAGCAAATGATCAAGCTATAGAAAGTCAATCTTCTCAATTGCAGTCAACTTCAATATCTTGTCAAGGTGAAAGCTCAAGTCATATGGAGACTGACAGTCCTGATGCGCCTCAGTCGCAGGTACTTTCTAAAATGCCTCCAATCTTTAGCCTTATGGAAGTACCATGTGCTACCTTTCTTTTATGTCGGGCTTCGCTTTGATTAGGAGTGATTCAAACTTTTTCAATATGAGTATAGTGGAAGTAATAATCTATTAGAATCTTTTCCACCTATAGTGAAAGTTTTCAAGATGGAAGACAAGTAGCAGTGTTCTGAATTCAAGATGAACATCACTTAGTGTTTCGGTTGTAGGTTTATTTGAGGAGAAGTTGTCTTCCTTTGTATCTTTCCTTCTCTTCAAGCTTCTTGTTTTGGTTATTGCAGCAAATTTATTTTTTGTGTATTTGAATATTTATGTGTCAAGGAATCTCAAGAGGAAGATCAGGAGCTATGTAATGGTTCAGGACAACAGAATGCTTCCTCATCTGAAACAGAGGATGTGCTACCAAGACTTTTGTTTCGTCTGGAAGGGATTGAACTTGACCGCTCTTTGACTGTATACCAGGCAATTCTCTTGCACAAACTAAAATCAGAAAATGAAACTTCCAACGGTTCGAAGCTGAGGGGACCCCACAACATCACTTATGAAAGGGCTCCAGAACTTGTGGATTCTCATGAGAATCTGTTTCCAACCGGATCTATGGAGAATGATGAGTATCACCCCTTCTTATCCTACTTGTTTGCTCATAGACTTGCTGTGCGCCTCATAGGGTCAAGTCCTCCTGCGTATGACATATTGTTTCTGCTTAAGAGTCTGGAGGGCATCAACAGATTTTTCTTTCACTTGATTTCTCTTGAAAGGATTCACGCTTTCGGTGAAGGTAGGCTGGACAAATTGGATGATCTGAGGGTACAAGTTCGTCCTGTGCCACATACTGAATTTGTGAGCAGTAAGCTTACAGAGAAATTAGAGCAGCAGCTGCGTGATTCTTTTGCTGTGTCAACCTGCGGGCTGCCACCGTGGTTTAATGATCTAATGGATTCATGCCCATTTCTGTTTAGTTTTGAAGTCAAATCTAAATACTTCCGACTTGCAGCCTTTGGTTCAAAGCTAGTCCATCATCATCCACAACACCTTAACAGTTCAAACGGTCATGGCGAAGGGCGTCCAGTAACTAGCAGTTTACCTCGTAAAAAGTTCTTAGCATGCCGTGAAAAAATTCTAGAGTCTGCTACAAAAATGATGGAGTTATATGGCAACCAGAAAGTGGTCATTGAGGTTGAATACAGTGAAGAAGTCGGAACTGGTCTTGGGCCAACACTGGAGTTCTATACACTGGTCAGTAGGGCATTTCAAAATCCCGATCTTGGTATGTGGAGGAGTGATCGTTGTTCCTTTACTGGAAATTCAAGTGAAAACGCGGGAGTTGTGGCGTCTTCTTCAGGACTCTTTCCACGCCCTTGGTCAGCTACATCAACTGCTTTTCCAGATGTGCTGCAGAAATTTGTCCTTATGGGGACGGTGGTAGCAAAGGCTCTACAAGATGGACGAGTCTTAGACCTTCCTTTCTCCAAAGCCTTCTATAAACTAATTCTCGGACAGGTAAATTGGGTTTTTCAAGCATATCTTATTTTTACATATGAATATATCTATCTGGCTTTTTGAGAATCTTACACAGTATGTTTCCTCGTAGGAGTTGAGTTCATTTGACATCCACTTCATTGACCCTGAACTTTGCAAAACACTGGTGGAATTGCAAGCTCTGGCACGGAGGAGAAAGGTTTTCGCAGAAGTACAGGGTGGTTCTCGAGCAGCTAAATGTGATTTAAGTTTCCATGGAATGAAGATTGAGGATCTCTGTCTTGAATTTGCGCTGCCTGGCTACACTGATTATGATCTTGCTCCCCGTTCTGATAATGATATGGTGTGTAGTATTTTAGCTGTGTGAACAAATCTCTTTCTTAAGTTCCCCTAACATTTTGTGAACAAATCTCTCCTACTCGTTCTAGGTAAATTTGGACAACCTTGAGGAATATATCAAGGCTATTGTCAATGCCACAATATGTAACGGGATCCAAAAACAAGTGGAAGCATTTCGTTCTGGTTTTAACCAAGTACGTAACCTTCTTCCCCTTTTGGTGTTTGCTTCTTCTCTATATATTTAAGTTTTCTTAAATAATTCCTTAATATTTCACGCTTTCAGGTTTTCCCTATGGAACATCTTCGGATATTCAATGAAGAAGAACTGGAAACTATGTTGTGTGGAGAGCGTGATCTCTTTAATGTAAGTAAACCTTCAGGTTTTGGGTAGTGTATACCCTTTTTCATCAGTTTTTTTAAAAAAATGTCCTTCCTTCGCAGATGAATGAAGTCTTGGATCACATCAAGTTTGATCATGGATATACTTCTAGCAGCCCACCCGTTGAAAATGTTGGTTTTGACTAAAAATCTACTTTTTTCTTGTTTCTTTCGGTTTTTATTCGCCGATCAAACTGAAAGGTTCAATTTATCTGTATTCCAGTTGTTGGAGATTCTGCATGAGTTTGACAAGGAGCAACAGCGAGCGTTTCTGCAATTTGTAACAGGATGTCCTCGGTTACCTCCTGGCGGTTTAGCGTCTCTGAATCCCAAACTAACCATTGTCCGCAAGGTTTTCAATGTGATAGAAAACTCTTTTTCTCACATTTCATGTAATAATCTCTCTTTTCTCATCAGCTTCTTTTGCTCTGTTTCATTGTTGTGCAAACAGCACGGTAGCGATTCTTCAGAAACGGACCTGCCTAGTGTGATGACATGCGCCAATTATCTGAAGCTTCCACCTTATTCTTCCAAAGTGACATTTCTCTTCATCTTTGTCTCTTATTACTCCAGTTTTTTTCTCTGGGCAAAAAGCCCGTCTCAGGATCGATCTCACTTGCGTTGTGCTTTTTTTTTGTATGTTGTGTTTTGCAGGAGAAGATGAGGGAGAAGCTAATTTATGCCATAACTGAAGGTCAAGGTTCCTTCCATCTCTCTTAAGTTAGTTTCTTGTAAACATTAGCAGAAGCGGTAGGAAAATGTGAGGGAGACAAGAACAGTGGATTGTTTGAAGAAAACAAGAGGAAGCTTTCTCTCTTCTTCACACATGGCTTTGAAGTTTATCTTTTTTTTTTTTAGGATTTTGTACAAAAGATTTAGTAATCAGTAGAAGTAGAGAAACAAAAAAGAAATTCTCTTTTGGAACTCTTTGATGGAAAAAGGTTGTACATAAAAATAATTGCTAAAAATTCTCTAATATCATTGTATATTAATTATTTAACAAATTCTCAATTATTGGATTTTCTTGTAACAATCTTAACATTCTGAGGATTCAGGTATAACATCTAGGGATTTAGCCCAACTAGTTAAACAAGGTAAAAAAAAATACATACATCATTTCAACTTTAAAATTTTTTTTTATCGAGTTCAATGTTTTACAAGATACATGCACCGTTTAACATTTAAAAAAATACATACATCATTACAAGATTGGACAATTAAATTCCGAGATTTATTATAATAGTAGTAGCATCATCGATCTACTTTAACACAAGTCAATTGTCGAACCACCGCATTGACAAATGTCAATAATACTAATAAACATTAATTAATGGGAAATTGATAGCCATAAAAAATTTTATAATTGGCAATCTAACCAAAAACACACTATGTGGCAAAATCATAACTACTTATTTTAGGGTTTTTGGTTAGATTACCAATTATAATATTTTATTTGGTTATTACATAAATTAACCCATTAATTAATCATGTGACTGATATTGATGAGCTACTCTTTTGGTAATGCAACGATAAATTTGGCAACCGACTTGTCATCATCTCCAAAAGTAGATTGGGCAACAAACACAACCCCTTTTGAGACAGACCCAATCCAACATGAAGTACCTTTAAGTTTTTCCCCAAACGCTAATTTCTTATCAAGTACTCCAACATTTGTCTCCTCCAAATCGCCACCGCGATCACAATCGCAGTCGCTAAACGGTTCAGTACTCGAATGTATCTCTACCTTCATACCGTCACATCCAGTACTATTTTCACTTACGCCTTGTTCCTTGACGAACAAGAAAACATCGGGACTCGCTTTTTTGCAAGTTCCATTAACAGCTTTTCTCATGCAGGATAGCGAATTTTTCGGGCATGTTTGGAACTGGAAGACAGCGACGAGTTCACTGCGATCGAGAACCGAGGCTGACTTAGAGAGTTCAATGAAATTACCAAAGTTTTGCTTGAGAGAAGGGAGGTAAAAGATTGGTTTGAGTGTGGTTTGGGAATGAGCTAAAGAGCTTTGGATTTGAGCCCATTTTGTCAAAAAGTCTGTTTCAAGGATGAGATCAGCTATTAAGATACTGCAGCTTATCCCAATTGAGTATCCACCACTCTCAAAATTAGTCACCTATTAACAAATATATAAAAAAAAAAAACAATCTCAATATTATATGACTTGTGATTATGCGTAAGCAGTGCAAATGAATCTTTAAAAAGTTTAAATAGCAATTTTAACTTCAAGACAGATTTAGTTAACAAAAAAGTACAATACCGATTTCGATTAATTTTAGTTAATAACTTTATTATACATTTAAAGTAAAAATATTTATGTCTTTTT